AAAAAAAATAGAAATTAAATAAAAGTCACAACATGGATTTCAAACAAACAAAAAAAAAAAACATGTGTAGTCAAGTTTCTCTGTCTCTTTTCTTCTAGGAATGATAGCATGCCAGTAAACCCCTACCGAACAGTTCCAGTTTGGCAACAAGCAGTCAGTTGATCATTCACATTTGTACTCAAGACAGGAGGCTGGGGCAAACCCCACCTGATTCACCACCCTGAAATGTGCACCTGGTAACAGGGATGGGCATTCAGACCATCCTTTAGCATTTACATTGCACCTGGGGTCTTGAAGCACTTTCTGAAAACTGATCGTGCCTTGACATTTACCTGTAGAAAGAAGTACAATTCTACCTTTTTGGCAGATGTGTAAACTAAGACCCTGAAAGGCTCACAGAGGCAAAGGAAGGGGGGCAGGAAAGCTGACACGGAAAACAGTCAGAAGAGTCTCTCACTTGCGATTCCGTGGAAACAAGACAAGCCTGACCTCCTGGCAGGGATTGGCTAGTAAGCACGGTTGGGAAATGGAGGCGCTACTGTAAAGGGGTCTCCCCTCTATTCCAGATTGAACCCGAGGAGTTAGCAGAGTTCTAGAGTTGGACAGGATACGAGAGACGGGCTAGTGCACCCCTCCAGTCCTCAAGGAAAGGAAAACAGGCCCCCAAACGCTGCAGGTGCCTCAGGCCACTAGCTCACTAGCAACAGACCAGGACAACCCACCGTCTTTGACTCTAAATCCAGGCCTTTCTTTGCCATAATTTACTGAGTTTATTGACAAAAGCGAGCATACCTGTATTTTGGGCGTGGGCCAAGGGTGATTTTTTTTAAAAAAAACAGTGTTGTTTTTACCTAGAGATTCCAAAAGCAGGAAAAGAAAAAGAACACTGACAAGTACGTAGGTGGTATACGTCAGCGATACTGACAATGGCTCGCCAGGCCAGTGGGCATGCGTGAGGGGCCAGCAATGTGGACTCTGAGAAAGGGATGCATTGAAGGCAACAAGAAGGTGGGCCCTGGGACACACACTATGCTCTCTATACATTTTTCCCTTTTAACCTCTGTTGGAGTTCAAGAAGAAAGTGGAATTGAATGAAAGGAAATTTAGCAGCTTCCCATAACACATGCTTGGCTAAATCTGAAGAAACAAAAAAGCACAAATCAAAACACCAGAACTGGTAGAAAGATGAGAAATGGAACCAGCCCCACAGAGAAAAGGCAGATTCTTTCTAATGAATGTTCTTAGTGTCACGGAGTGAATTGGTTCTCATCTCCCTATGTTGTTGGTTGGTTTTCCCAAAGATATCCTCAAATTAGTCCTCCTTTACATCTAGGTGGCTTATCCAAGGTCAGGTACCTTGAAATAAAGGTTCTCATAGTCCAGTAGAATGAGAAGCCATTCCAAAGAGACCATTAATTCCAAATCCAGTAGCCTAAAGATTCCCCTTATGGGAGTGAAGTCTTGTCACCGTGACCTAGGGATTAATGAGTAAAACACATTGTTTGCTGTGTTGGATTTTAAGGTAGGAGTGCTTTACCTTAAAGGGTCACCTTTCTTCTCCTTCCTCCAGAAGTTTCCATAAGACTTCTAAGGAAATGCTCCCTCTCCAAACACACTCTGTCCTTATTCACTTGAATGGATAGAACTTTCTTTTTTTCCCCAAAGCCCAAGAGTTCAGGTCCAAGTTCAAAACTCTCACAGGGCACATTTAGATTTGGGGAAAACACTGTCTTCCTGACTTTTCTTTCCTCCTCCAAACATATATACCACCTGCACGCTCACTTTTTAGAAGCAGACTTGTCTCACCCTGAATTCTAAGCTGACAGGACAGGGAAACCCTTTATTAGTAGTAAACAAGGCCAACAGTTATGCCAGTTAATCCTTTGGAAACTATGGGCAGTGAGTGTTACATCCCATGGAGGGGCTCCGTGCAGGTGAGTGTCCAGAGGCAGCATTCCAGTTAATATTGAGACATCAAAGACACCCAGTGGTCCCTTCCAGTCATCTGTGCAAAGACCACCAAGAGTCCCTGTGCTCAACTGCACACCACAGTTTTAGCCTCTGACATCACCATCTCTTTCCCTATCCACCCCCATGAGAGGATGCAGACAGCAAGAAGTTGACAAATCACCAAGGACTGATTTTAGGTTCTCAACCAAATTCAATGCATTCCCTCTGACCCAGGCCAGAGCAGAGTCCCAAATAAACAAATGCCCCACATAAAATAGCCCACAGGATGCCTTAACCTAACTCTCAGGGTGTTGCCAAGCCAAGGTGGCCGACATTACTATTCATTACAGCATGTATTTCCTATGCGCCTGGGCATGACATTAGAATACTTGTCAAACCAGTACACTAGGCAGCCACAATGAATGAATCACCTAGCCAGCTCAAGCTCTTAAAATCTACATGTAGTCAGGACAAGCTTTCTAATGGAAATGAGGAGAAGCAAGTTTTTTGGGCTCACCCAAAACAGATGGCACCAGTCTCTCTTGCTTCTCCTCTAGAAGCATTTGGATGATGTCTGGAAAAATGCTCCCTCCCAACCCAGTAGGTTCTGGCCAGCACCGGACACCCCAGAACTGCGGGTTCTCCAGAAGGTACCACAAAGCAAATGGCACAGAGGACTCCAATTCTGACTCTCCCAAAACAACATGGCAGAACTGGCAGTGAGCCCACTTCTCCCTTTTAGGTGCTGACTCAAGGCAACAAGCTTGGCTTGAGCCAGATGCCACCAATCCTTTCTCAATCTACTGCCATGGCCAGCAAAGAGGGACCCAGCCTGTAAACACAAGTCACTGCCCTTCTTCCTCCCTGGTCCCTGCCCCTAACCCGACCCCTGCGCCCACTGAGCTAGTTGAGCTTGTTGCAGATCTCCAGCGCTTTCTTGTAGACCTGAGTCACATCATCCATGTCTGTGAGGAGGGAGAAGCTGCTGTCTCCCATCCGGTTCCGGTACCGTTTCAGGTACTGGGGTCGGGGCCGATTCTGGAGCCCCTCAAAGTCCTGGATCTGGAGGAAGTTTTCAGCAGAGACGCAGCTGCGAATGCGCTGGCGGGTGGGACGATTTTCCTGCAGATCCAGCAAGTCGAAAGAGTCGCTGGACAGGACACTGTCGTCGCTGATGACGCTGGAAGGCCGGCTGTAGCTCCGCGAGAGGCCGTCTGTGGGGACACCAGGCTCTGCCATGCATTCCAGTGTAGGCATTTCGGGGCTGATGAGGGCCGGGTTCAGCGTGCCTGCTGAGTATTTGCTGTTGTGTTTCAAGATGCCCTTCCTCCGGCAGGAGAGGCTGTGGGTACCCACTCTGACTGGATCTGGGGGGCTGGGGGAGGGGATGCTGCTGCCCATCCCATCGTTACTGTCCAACAGCTCTGAAGACTCGCTCCGCTCTGGGGAGGAGTAGTAACCAGACTCTCTCTGCTGAGTCTTTTTCAAGATCCCTTTCTTGGGCATGGTGGCCGACTGCTTGGGGCTGAGTTTAACAGGCACCTGGGCCTCAGGGGAACTGGGGAGGGGCAGGCTTGTCCGGCACAAGTCCTGCTCCATCTTAAAAGCAGAGGGTAGGGCGGGACTCACCACCCCTTCGATGAAGCCAGTGCTATGGGACCGATGTTCGCTGTTGCTTCGCTTCTTCAAGATCCCCTTGGGCCTCTTGGAACTTAACTTGGGTGGGCTTTCAGGCACTGTGTCCTGGGCAGACTGGGCAAAGTCGGTCTCTTTCTTGGACTTCTTCAGAGACCGCTGTCGCTCCAGCGTGACATCAGAGGCACCAGGTTTGGCCAGGCCCTTCATTTTGGCCTCAGCTTCAGCCTGCAGCCCGGTGGAACGATGGTGCCAGTCGATAATCCGAGCCAAGAGAGGGGACTCAGAGTCGTGAAGGGCATCACAGTCGCAGACGCTGCTCTTGTAGCCCCAGTTAACCCACCAGTGGTTGGCGATGTCCTCAATGGTGGCCCGGCGGTCAGGGTTCACCATTAGCATCCACCGAATGAGCCCTCGAGCATCTAGTGGATAAAAGATAAGAGTCATGAGGCATTACCCAGAAGCCCTCCGCTAGGCTTTGTGATGGTGTGACCCTGTAAGAGTGATTATACAGACACACTCCCTCTGGGAACAGTCTGCATTAAACGTCAACAGTATCAAGACTCAGGACTTCAGAACCACAGGCCAGTGCATGATCAAACCTTGGCATGTTTTCCATATTAGTGAAGGAATGCCAGGGAACCACTGACCTTTCCTTCAACTCCAATCTTTATAAACTGGAGAGGGCCGGGTAACAGCAAAAGAATCCCAGAGCTGACCCCAAGCAGGCCCTACCATTCCTTTGGTGGATATATCACTTTCCCAAAAGGAAAAGCAGGTGTCGATTACCACGGCTTTCTCCATCCTTCTAAAGGTGTGATGTATCAACACAAAGTACTCACGACCTCTGGAAAAGCATGTTGGCACAAAAAGGAGATGTGGGACAGAGATGGAGAGAGGAAGATAGAGAAGAATGACGAGGAGATCAGAGGCCTCTGGGTCGGAGGGCACTCCCTCCTGGGATACCTGGACAATTCTGACATGAGCTGTATCCCACTGAGCCTTCACAAGACAGAGCTGAACTGTATATGTTATCTGCTGACAGCCCGTCTGAAAAATTCCACCTGCAAATGTGTGCTCTCAGAGAATTAGGGGAAAGTCTCAAGAGGGCTACTGAGAAGGCCATAGAAACCAACTGGCTCTCACAATTGGAAAACTGACTTTTAATATCAGACTGTGCTGTCCCCACTAGGGATTAAATTTTATCTCGGAGCAGCCGCGAAGTCCTTCAGTTTATGTCGGCTGATGAGTAACTGGCAAAAGTCTGGCAATAGGGACAGGGGAGAGAGAGCTGCACCCTTGAGAAGTGACAGGAGGAGTCAGGTGATCCTGAGTCATTAAAATGTGCCAGGAATGAGGCTGACATCAATTAACTGGTTAGACAAATAAGGCCACCATAGAGGTTGCTCTTAAATTCCCCCCAAAGATACACTGGCTTATTAAAAACAACTAATGGACACACACACATCCTAGCAGGTATGTATGTAGACAAAGGGCCTGCAGTAGCTCATTTTCAAACACATACTCTCTGTACATGTGAGATGCTCTCCTGTCAAAAGACGGGGCTGATGGCCTTGATGGCTTTGACAAGAGAACATGGTGGAAGTTAACATTATCTAGCTTCTAAGTGCTAACATTAAGAAGGCCTAGAAAAAAGGAGTATGGTGGTCTGGACTACTCTAAGGTCAGCAGTTCGAGCCCACCAGCCGCACCATGGGAGAAAGATGGAGTTTTATGTACCTGTAAATATATACAGCCTCGGAAACCCTATAGAGGGTCACTGAGTTGGAATCACCTCTGGGGCACTTTACAACAACAACAAAGAAACAAGGAAGGCCTGGAAGTTTCCTTTTCCTCCTCCTTATAGCTTTGAGCTCCCTCCTAGACAGAGAGGCCATGGGGACACCCCTCATGGTCACAGCACCCCACGGAGCAGCAGTGAAGTATCCCAAACCAGCCCCAGCAACTGCTTCTGCTGCCATCATACTTCATAGGCTATCTTTTCTCATGTATAATGGAGACACGGAAATCTAATAAGGCAAAACGACTTGCCCAAGTTCACCTAGCCAGCCAATGGGACCCCTAACCTTCTGAGTAAAAGTCTTTGTTTTGAAATTCTTATTTGGGGAGGCAGGCACAAAGCATCCTAATAGGGCAACTTTGACAAAAGACAGAGATTGGGGAAGAAGTAAGGAGAAGTAGGAGAGACTTGACAGCTAGATATATAAAAACAAAAGGAGAAAGTATGGGTGAAGGCAGGTCAGCTGACCACGTCCCCCTCTACCTCTGACCCTGAGTCACGCACCTGAGGGTTGTGTAGGCTCCCGGTATTCTCCACTGCTGATCTGTCGAATGAGGTTTTTGTGATCGAAACCATCAAAGGGCATTGTTCCATAGACGAGAGTATAAAGTAACACACCCAGGGCCCAGCTGTCCACCTAGAACAGAGACAGGACATGTGGAAGCTAGAGAAGCAGATTCCTGGGACGCCTTCCAAACCATCCACCTCACCTGTGAGCATCCACCCCCGATGACCCCAGGAGCTGAACTGAGCACCTGGCAGATAGGTCCCACAACACATGACAACTGATACTGCCGCACAGCCTGACCCTTCTGCTTGGAACCCACACCAACCATCCAATCTACACAAGCACGCCCTTAAATAGATACAATCTAGTCTGAGCCTCACTCTGTGTGAAGCAGGCAGTGTTTCAATTATTTTCAATCCCATTTGATAGAGGAGAATACTGAGGCCCAAGGAAGCAAAATGATTTCCCCAGACACCGTGCCTCAGTGATGGAGGTGAGCCTGGGGCTCAGGGCTCTTCACCGCGAATCTGTCTACACACCACAGAATTAATTCTTTCTGTGCCATCCTTAAATGGATCACAGGGATTGCAAACTCAAATCCTTACAAGGGACATGCAGGTGACGATTACGAACAAGAAGAGCAGAATCCAGGAAACAACACAAAGTGTTGCGGACAGAGACAAACAGTTGCGTGCATTGGCTCATCTGAAGCACGCTGCCTCGTGGCTGGTTGCTGCCAAGAAATGAGGAGACAGCACCGCTGAGTCCGTTCGTTTTTCAAGAGAAGTCAAAAACCAGATTATGATGGGAAAGCTCCCAGTTATTAAGCATTTGCTCATATTACAACATATTTCTATGCCATGTTATGCGCCGTGGAGTTGGTTCCGACTCATGGTGACCCTGTACAGGGTTTCCAAGGCTGTAAATCTTCACGGGAGCAGAAAGCCTCATCTTTCTCCCGCGGAACAGCTGGTAGTTTCGAACTGCTGACCGTGAGATTAGCAGCCCGATTCGTAACCACTACACTACCAGAGCTCCATATATATATATATATATGCAGCCTTGGAAACCCTGCACAGGGTTGCCATGAGTCGGAACTGATGCCACGGTACTTAACAATAGCAATATATATATATTATAGATACACACATATAAATATATGTAAAACTAATATGGCCAAATAAAACATGTTTACTGGACAGATCACAAGCTGCTGGTTTGTAACCTTGGAAACAGATCATCAAAGATCAAAGCAACACTCATTTATCTGCCATAAATTTACCGGGTCGAGTTTCTACAATTTTGTAAATTAAATCCAAAGCCCCTCCCTCACATCCTTATTTTAGAAAGACTTTCTCCTGGTGTGATGGCTGGCATTCTTCTCTTGACCCTACAGTCCTGGCTCAAAAACTCTCCAACAGATAAATATTTGTAAGAAACATTTCAACACACTGAGCAGCTGCTCGTGAAAGGAAGAATCTCTATAAAGAGTACCATTTAAACCAAAACAAAACAAAAATCATCACTCCCAACAACTCAGCCATTTTCAAAATACGATTTTCACATACATGTATCGTGCAGTGGTCCTGAGAGCTACACACATGTAGAGGAGCAGATTTCTCTGTGAATTAGAAGATGCCAGCTAAAAGATATCTCCTTAGTCAAAAGTACATGTTGTTAGAGGACATAGGCAAAAAGATATTCTTTTGGCGTTTCCAGGGTTTCATTTGTTTTTGTTTTTTTTTTAAGTTTTGTCTTGTGTAAGGGAAAAGAGAAAGACAGCCTGGCTGTCGGAATTTGGGGAATGATTAAGTAAATGATGGTATAAGCACCCAATAAAGGATTATGCTGTTGCTATTAGGTGTTGTAGAGTCAATTCCAACTCATAATGACCGTACACACAACACAATGACACACTGCCTGGGCCTGGTCCATCACCACGATAGTTATTCTTGAACCCATTGCTGCCGCCACTGTGCCAATCCAGCTCATTGGAGAGCTTCATCTTGTTCGCTGACCCTCCTTTTTACCAAGCAAGATATCCTTCCTCCAGGGACTGGTCCTTCCTGAGAATATGTCCAAAGTATGAGAGACGGAGTGTCACCATCCTGGTCTCTAAAAAGCATGCTGGTTGTACTTCTTCCAACACAGATTTGTTTGTTTTTCTGGGATTCTATGGTAGCATAGCGGTTACAAATCGGGCTGCGAACCACAAGGTCAGCAGTTTGAAACTACCAGCTATTCCGCAGGAGAAAGATGAGGCTTTCTACTCCCATAAAGACTGTAGCCTCGGAAACCCTGTTCAGGGTTGCTATGAGTTGGAACCGACTCCACGGCACATAACAACAATGGTACTTTTAATATTCTTCTCCAACATAACAACTCAAATGTATCAGTTCTTCTATGGTCTTCCTTATTTATTTTCCAACTTTCATATGCATATGTTGTTGTTGTTAAGTGCTGTCAAGTCAATCCCGATTCATAGCGACCCTGTGTACGGTTTCCGAGGAGCAGCTGGTGAGCGTGAACTGTCAACCTTGTAGTTCAAATGGCTTTGCAGTCTGGCAGATTAAACCACAGCGCCACACCAGGACTCCACATGCATGTGAGGCAGTTAAAATTACCATGACTTGGATCAGAGGCACCTTAGTCATCAATCTGACATCTTTGCTCTTCAATACTTTAAAGAGGTCTTGTGCAGCAGATTTGCCTAACGCAACACATCATTTGAGTTCTTGACTGCTGCTTCCATGAGTATTGATGGTGGATCCAAGCAAAATGAAGTCTTTGACAACTTCAATCTTTTCTCCATTTATAGGGATGATGTTTATTGGTCCAGTGGTGAGGATTTTTGTTTTATTTATATTGAGATACAACCCAGACCAAAGGCTGTGGTAAGTATTTTAAGTCCTCTTCACTTTTCAGCAAGCAAGGTTGTTAATGAACCTTCCTCCAATCGTGATGCCACATTCTTCTTCATAAAATCCAACTATGATGGAGTCATTAAAAATCATGTTTTTTAAAATGACAATGAATTCAGAAAAGCTTGTGCATGCTTGCACTTGTGTATGGAACAACCTCACCTATGACTAAATGCAGACGTTGAAGAGTCTAAAGGAAAAGTCACAACAAATGCTCCAAGCATGTCTCTTATGCGGGAGCACAGGTCATTTTTATTTTCTTCAGGTTTTCTGGATTTCCAATTTTTTCTCCCGGGTATATGTATTGCTTTTATTATCATCTAAAGGAAGATTTACTTGGCTTACCTGAGTATTTAGTTTTTTTAAATTTTTAATTCACTTCTTATAAAAATATGTATTACAATGGATACGCCTGTTCAGCCCATTCTACATGTTCAATTCAGTTTCTACCCTTCAAGTTGGGTGACCGTTCTCACCACCATCCTATTCCAAAGGATTCCACCACGTGAACACAAAGTCGCTGTCCCCTAAGATTCTCATCTAACCTTTTGAAATGCTGTTGGCACTTTGATCCCACGTAGATCAAGCTTTGAGAGAGCGCAGCACTCAAGACAAATGTACTCTGGAAATGAGACTAAAGTATTGTTTGCTTCCAAGATGACTTCCGGGAAAAGTTTTGGTGTAGGGTTTAAGGTTTAAAAGAAAATCTCACGGCAAAAAATGTTAGATTTTGTTTTGTAAAGACTTCCTGGATCCAGCCCCATCTCCTTCTCCCTGTACACACACACATGTATGTACACGGGGTGGCATGCTCACCTCTGGCCCTCGGTAAGGCCTCCCATTGACAATTTCAGGAGATGCGTAGAGAGGGCTGCCGCAAAACGTTTGCAAGAACTTGTCCTTCTGATACAGGTTGGAGAGCCCAAAGTCAGCAATCTGCAGAGAGAAGCAAGGCCCAACGAGGCTTGTTAGCACTGAGCTCAGTGTCTGCACCGGATCAATTCCCACCACTCAGAATACAGAGCAGCTAAGTAATTAAGGAGCAGCTGCTGGATCTGCACCCTTCAGCACAGCCGGGCCAGTGGTCCCCAACGCTGCCCTCGACAATCCACCATGCCCTCACTGCATACTGCATGCTTTCTTCCTGACTTAAAGCTATTCCTTAAATAGACTCTCTCTGAACTTCAATTTAGACACACCTGAGAAATCATAGCCACCAATTCACGGTCCTCATGCTTCTGACAAGTATTTAGAGTGCATTTAAAAGTCGACCGTGAGTGCTACCTAAAATTACTTTCTATCCATGCAGTTGTGTCCCCCACTTTAGCATCCATATTCAGCGGGATTGTGGTTCGCCTGGCTTGTGACCCTTAGAGCACTGGTGGCACGATAGGATAAGCACTGGGCTGCTAACCTCAAGGTCGGAAGTTCAAACCCACCAGTCACTCTGTAGGAAAAAGATGAGGCTTTCTGCTCCTGTAAAGCTTAACAACCCTGAAAACGTTATATAGGGTCTGCTACCATAAAGACTATGAGTTGGAACTGACTTGATGGCAGCGTGTGGGGTTTTGACCCTAGATGAAACAGACTCAGGATATGAGGTTCAGAGGCATCATGTTTCAACCCAAACTGCCACCTGGCATCTGCATGACTTGGCCATGCTCTGAATCCCTGCCTGGTTCTAGATCATAGGATTAGTGTGAGAAGGTAATTAGGAAGAGCATTTCTACATGATGAGACCATGTGTGTGCAGAAGTGCTTTATAACCTTTGGGCTTTATGCAAATGCCTCACTCACCTAAGCTTGCATCTCTCTGCTGGGTTGACATCCCTTGGAGGCATTCTATTCTCCTGTGGCCTCTTGAAATGCTTTGTTGATTATGCTTTATGGCAACACTCTTCTTAGTCTACTACTTTATTTTATAAGTAATATGTGGTGCTGAGGGTTAATGAGCTGGACTGCAAGATAAGTTTGAATCACAAGTTCAGCGGGTTCAAGCTCACTAGGCACTCCTTGGAAAGCCTATACAGGGTCACTATGAGTTGGGACCAACTCCATGGCACATAACAATAGTAGATGTGTATATTGCAGATAATACCTACTTATCCTGGCTTCAGTGACTGGATGATCAGAGCTCAACCA